TTTAAATAAGTTTGAGTTTTCCTACATCTTGAAACTTTCAGGTTTATAAATGGGGGTAATCTTTGAAGGATGAACAAATAATGTTTTGGTAATCACATTAAGAACAACATTTAAATATATATTTATATAATATTTGAGTTTTGAAGTGCAACATTAAATCCATGTTCACTCACGGCACAATGTTTTTCCTGGTTCCCACGTCAGCGCTGTTTGATCTAATAGAGATCTACGGTTAATAACGGAGAAATGTGAATGCTTCTCACTAGATCTCACAGCAATGTTATTACTTCAGTGGCGAATTCAAATGTTTTCTTCACTTGATCTTAGCGCTGTGTAGTAACAGTGTCGTTTGATCAAGATCGGCTCGCGCTGCACAAATGTTGCTGGTCCGAACTGATAAATGGCCCGTTAAGCACAATATAATGAGAAGCGCAGTTTCGTTCCGCTTTCATTACGTTTGCCATTTGATGTTGCGCAACGTTGTGGTGATCGAGCCAGCGCGGATTTTGTCGGCAGGAAAAATGGTCCTAGGAATCGTTCGGTTTGTATGCGTACCGAACCGGAAGCCTCGTACCGAAACGGTTCAATAATTACGAATACATGCAGGCCTACCGTTACACCCCTAATTTACATATATCCGAGTCCTGATCGGGAGGTAACGTCCGATCGAGTCTGAAACCACGTGATCGGGCCCGATTTCCGATCGCGTGATCGGATCGGGACATCCCTACTTTGATTTGAAGCAAAAAAAGTTAGAAAATTGGACAAAAAGGCACAAGACTGTGAACTTAATGGATTTAATGAGGGGAAAGAACTACAATACCATGAAGCATGGCAAATTAAATTTAAAGATGTTGGTTGTGTATATTGAAACCTTTTTTTTTGTTGCAGAATCATGGGTAATATAGTTTTTACCAGATATTCTGCTGTCATGTGGTAGCCTAGTATTTGAGTTTATTGCCATATCAGCATCACCGGCTATTACATGGCAGATACATATTAAACATTTAACATAATGTCATAAATACAGTATAATGAAAACAAACATTTTATAAAATTCAACTAAGACAAAAAACAAACAAAAATAAGTACATGTACAAATTCTACATTCTATAAAATATTCTTTATATGTACTTGTGCACATTTTTTTAAAAGGTTTTTCTGGATCCATAAATAAGTCCTTTAAAGTTTGTCCTGATAAAAAGCGCCGTCTCATAACATTAAAAATTGGGCAGTCCAAAAGTATACGTTTTATAGACAAACTGCTTCTTCACCCTTCAATAAATGCCAATGGCCAATGGGTCAGTGGAGTATGACCTATCCCACACCTTGGTCGTGTGTGTCTTGATTTAAAGGGTAGACATCTTTTCCCCAACCAATTTATTTCAAATAATTTGTTATTTTGACATTCTTACCATTCTGCTCGCCATTTCTCTAATATATAGCCTATTAGTTGATTAAGGGATTTGTGTCCGAGGGTGGGGATTTAATTCTGCTGTCAGAAAATATTATTAAAAACCCCATGTTGAGGAAATAATGCGCACTGACGGCTTGAACAAAAGCTACACCATTGATTAACAAACTCGCAGCTCACAGTAGGTCGGGTTTTAACTGTTGCGATCTATTGCCTAAACCAATCGCGTGCGTTGGAGGCGGGACTAACTTGTTTGTTCGACCAATTGCAAACGGGGGACTGTTTGAAAACCTGTCAAGTTATTTTGCCATTCCGTGTGGGGATAGTAGTGACGCAGAAATTGCACTCGTTTTAGTTCTAACCGCGAGTAAGACATTATTCAACGCAAATGACGTCACAGTATGACGTCACGAAGAAGAGAGGCCAACAAAACGCTGTTTACAGTCATTTTAGGCTTTCTGAAAACAGTTACAAATGTTTAATGAGGGAGTAAAATCTGAATATCGTATGGTAGTAATCATCGTAATGAACAACGTCATGAGAGGATAAATAATTAGTGAATGAGGTCAATGGCCTTTGGTAAAGAAACCTGCTGACTATATGCAGCATAACTCAAGTTAAACAAGTTCTCATTTCACAGTCATACACGACCTTAATTTAAAAGTCAAACGAGTAAAACTAATCTAAAACGGGTAACGTTGCATTCAAATCACAATAGGATGACAGTTCAATTTGGTTTCTACTTTATCCGAGCGTTAACGTTAACACAGCTCTGTTTAAAATAAAAGCTAAAAGATCATTTTAAAAATCGAAAGCCTTTCTAATCATATACGTTGTCAAAATTATTATAGGGTCTGCATAACATGTAATAATAACTACTTGGTTTGGTTCGTTTAACTTACCCAATGTGACGGTGAATTAGACTGGCACAACTTTCCTGAAAACTCCCTGATGAATTAAATAACCTCTAGACAAATATGATAAACACACCACCGATAATTATTTATTTATCACGGCGTCCTAATGTCAAACTCGACCACAATTTCCAGCCTCCGACGAATCAATCCGGAATTAGCTGAGCTAACTAGCCTGAGCAGCTAACGTTAACGTTAAAGGCCTGAGAAAATGAGCTAATCTGCCTAGACATCTGCTCAAATACACGGCCAACTTATGCTTCTTTACCACGTAAACCACAACAGAGTTCAAGAAACATACGAGTGGGACCTACCTTTAATCACTCCGAACAGACCTGTAAAAAATAGAGCAATCAAAGGAATATAACGTCAGTTCGCTTTTTAGGGCTTCAGCCCGGCTCGTCGGTCTTTTTCTTCCACCACCCTCTCTCTACCGGCGTCAAGCGCCTCCCTTTTGGAAAGCCACACATATGTGACGTCTGCTGCTCCTAGTGGCGTACTTACATTACAGCTAATGACTCTCTGCTGCCTCCTTGTGGCGTATTTACATTTATTACAGCTGACTCTCTGCTGCTCCTAGTGGCGTACTTACAATATTACAGTTAATGACTCTCTGCTGCGCTCTAGTGGCGTACTTACATTACAGCTAATGACTCTCTGCTGCCTTCTTGGCATACTTACATATATTACAGCTAATGACTCTCTGCTGCCTTCTAGTGGCGTACTTACATATATTACAGCTAATGACTCTCTGCTGCGCTCTGGTGGCGTACTTACATATATTACAGCTAATGACTCTCTGCTGCGCTCTAGTGACGTACTTACATGTATTACAGCTAATGACTCTCTGCTGCTCTCTGGTGGCGTACTTACATGTATTACAGCTAATGACTCTCTGCTGCGCTCTGGTGGCGTACTTACATATATTACAGCTAATGACTCTCTGCTGCGCTCTAGTGGCGTACTTACATATATTACAGCTAATGACTCTCTGCTGCGCTCTGGTGGCGTACTTACATATATTACAGCTAATGACTTGTCTGCTGCGCTCTAGTGGCGTACTTACATGTATTACAGCTAATGACTCTCTGCTGCCTTCTAGTGGCGTACTTACATATATTACAGCTAATGACTCTCTGCTGCGCTCTAGTGGCGTACTTACATGTATTACAGCTAATGACTCTCTGCTGCGCTCTAGTGGCGTACTTACATATATTACAGCTAATGACTCTCTGCTGCCTTCTAGTGGCGTACTTACATATATTACAGCTAATGACTCTCTGCTGCGCTCTGGTGGCGTACTTACATATATTACAGCTAATGACTCTCTGCTGCGCTCTAGTGGCGTACTTACATGTATTACAGCTAATGACTCTCTGCTGCTCTCTAGTGGCGTACTTACATGTATTACAGCTAATGACTCTCTCCTGCCTTCTAGTGGCGTACTTACATGTATTACAGCTAATGACTCTCTGCTGCCTTCTAGTGGCGTACTTACATGTATTACAGCTAATGACTCTCTGCTGCCCTCTGGTGGCAGAGTGATATATGGCAGCTAATCAATGACTCTCTGCTGCCCTCGGGTGGCACACTGACATACTGTTTATGACAGCCAATGACTCTTCTTTTTATTAGAGCTTTCAACATTTAACAATAGCCAGGTGGTATATAAAGACAGTTTTAGAGAAAAAATACAAATACAATAAATAAATAAAAACTTTATTTTTAAAAAATCTTTTAAACAGATTTTAAACAGTCTTTTAGGTATTGCTAAACTTCTGATTCCAAAATTAAAAATAGTGGTTTATGACCACAATACTTACATTTATGTCAACGAAATTTTGCCATCCGAAGTAACAAATTAATCAAATAATATTTCTTATGGACAGACATGTCATAAGTAAAAAAATAAAATAAAAAGCCAAATAAAACATTTTCAAAACAAAGTTGAAAGCTGGGTATGACAGTATCTCTAACAAATGAGCAGAAATGTGTTTGAAAAAGCACAACTCCAAAATAAATGAAAAAATGTTTATGCATGTAGATCACAAAATGTACAAAGTATATCAATATCACAACTGAATCCAACAATGCCCTCTAGTGGCGGAGTGATCTATATAACAGCCAGCGACTTTCATTCCAGCAAAATTCATTTTTCAGCAACATACCCTCAAAAAACAACGTCTGCCTTAATTAATATAAGACCGTAACTGTACAAATATTAAAGCATTTTTTTCTTCATGTTATTATTATTTCATATTATATATATATATATATTAGATTTTTTAAATATTATTTTATTAATTACTTACCACCTTATTCTAATTCGATGTTTATTGTTATTTGTTATATTGTACATTCTGTCCCTCATTATTTGTTTTGTGTATAATGCTTTGGTAACGGTGCATGTAAACACAATCACGTTAAATAAAATTTTTTAAATGGACTCTTCTGCCCTCTAGTGGCGTTGTGATGTCTGTCACAGAAACTAAATACTGAAATGAAAAAGTGCAATGTTTTTTGTTTAAAACTTTTTTTGTATGCCTACAACATTTTTTTCCTCATACTTGTTTTTCTTCAAATATAAATAAATACAGACACAAATAAAGACGTACAAGCTCAGTTAAACGATTGAGAAAAAAAAAAACTTCAAACAACATAACTGAAACTGAACATAAATGAAACGTTGTGCTACAGCTGCGTACTTGTGCAATAGAATAATTTCATACAATATTTACCAGGCTGCATAGTGCTTGAATATGACAACAGCTGACAAATAAAGAATAGATGAAGAATGCCTTTGAAAATCATGATGTAATGAAATGTATCACTCCTTAACAGGCTTTTTGAGTTTGTTTCTGAGTTCCGCCATCATCAAGGGACTCCCCATGCTGCACAACACAAAATAAAGAAAAAACGTTAGTTCGGAACAAAATAAAATACAATTAAGAATTCAGATTGATATTTCAGGCCATACCCAGGATGCTTCGGGGGTGTCCATTTGGGTTTAGCTGACGCCGGCTCTTGTTTGACAGAATCCTCTGTTACTGCAACTGACTTTAGCTGAGACAGACACAGTTATAACACTACACATCAACACCTACAATAACTATACAAACATTTAAGGCCTAAATTTAAGATGTATGCAATTGTATATAAAATGTCCACTCATTTGGATACAAATGTAATGCACAATTCAAATACCAAACTAATAAACTAATATGACACATATTTGTCAGCCATACATAAATGAAACGGGTAAGATTTCTGTAATAGTACTAATAAATTGAATGCGTTTTAAATACACAATAACAGGTTTACATATTTATCTTCAATAAATCCAATTTCTTTCAATCTCATACATTTTAACTAACTAAATGTCGCTTGTAGCCATATTTTACCCATGTTCATACTTTTGAACTGAATAATTTGAATGAATGCATTTAGAAAATTTGATCATTTAAATAAAATAGATGCAAATAGTTAATTTAACAGAAATCTTGCTGTTTCGTACTCGCTTCATTTATCTACGACTGGCAAATATGCATCACATTAAGTTTCGCACTTTATGTTAAAATTGTATATGCAATTCAAATACATAAATCTTAAATATAGGCCTAAATATTTTTGAGAGTAATACTGTGCTTAGATCATGAGTTTCACACACGGTTTCTGTTATACCTGTGGACGTAGTGTGCGCTCTGATTCTCCTTCTTCTCTCGCTTTCTTCCCAAATTCAGTTTTTCTCAGAGCCGGCATCCCTGCGCCCAGGCCTAAAAATATATAATGGACTGATTTAATGTACTGATAAAATTGTAATGCACTTTTCATGAAGGTTTTATTGAGGTCAGTATACCTGGGAGTTTAAATCCGATCCCCCCTTTACTTGGAGCAGAGACTTCACATGCTGGAGGCTGTGGGAGACGCGGCTCGAGCGAGATCTTGTAAAGGAGCTTTCTGGGGTCTTTGGGTGGCCGAACTAGGGGATTCTTCACAGCGATTCGAGACTTCTGAACGCTAAAGTCCAAAGATGAGTCCTCAAATGCCTATGGATAAAAAGTCATGATAGGTTTAACTTTAGCCATGATGTAGGATCACACTTTAACTTCTATTATATAAATGCAGTAATCTTTAAAGGGTTAGTTCACCCAAAAATGATAATTCTGTCGGTAATTACTCTCCCTCATGTTGTTCCAACCCCGTAAGACTTTCGTTCATCTTCGGAACACAAATTAAGATATTTTTGATTAAATCTGAGAGCTGGATCACTCCTCCATAGGCTTCTTAAGGGATCGAAACTGACCGGCCCAAAAGTTATGAAAGACATCGTTAAAATAGTCCGAGTGACTACAGCGGCTCAATCTTAAGTTTATCACGCGACGAGAATACTTTTTGTGCGCAAAAAACAACAACAAAAATAACGACTTTATTCAACTATTCATTTCCTTCTCTGTGGGCCTTGAGATTTCACGTAGTGAAACTACGCAAAGGTTCTAGGTTGCACGTCACGCGCATCACACACATGACCAGCGTCGGCCAATAGTGAGCCTGCATGTGACGTGCAACCTAGAAGCGGTGCGTAGTTTCACTACGTGAAATCTCAAGGCCCACAGAGAAGGAAATGAATAGTTGAATAAAGTCGTTATTTATGTTTGTTTTTTTGCGCACAAAAAGTATTCTCGTCGCGTGAAAAACTTAAGATTGAGCCACTGTAGTCACTCGGACTATTTTAACGATGTCTTTCATTAGTTTTGGGCCGGTCAGTTTCGATCCCTTAAGAAGGCTATGGAGGAGTGATTCAGCTCTCAGATTTAATCAAAAATATCTTAATTTGTGTTCCGAAGATGAACGAAAGTCTTACGGGGTTGGAACAACATGAGGGTGAGTAATTACCGACAGAATTTTCATTTTTGGGTGAACTATCCCTTTAAGTCTGCTTAACTGAATAGATGATGTTTACTAACCATATAACATTATCTTTTAGCTGTATATAACTGGCATATGAACATTACTATTATGACTGATAACTGAATACCGCCTGATTGTAACATTGAAAACACAGATTTTCTGTAAAGCTGCATCGAAACAAAAAGCACTAGACAAATAAACTTGAATATATTAGTAGAGCTTTTACTCAAAATATTTAATATTACCTGTAGATCCAAATCAAATTGTCCTTCTATCTTCACCACTGGAATGTCTTTGTTCACTCTATCAAATCCTCTTTTCATCCCAGGTCTGCTGATTTCCATGAAGTCTTCATGACCGCTCGACTCTGTTTCCCCAGCAATGGCGTTCTGTATCTGGTCATGACGTCCATCAGCTTCATTTGTTTCACACTCTGGTGAACTTTGTGGCTCAATATGTTTAACAGCTCCACGACTTGCGTTTTCCACCTCCATTGTCTCACCTAATAACTTCCCTCCTTCTTCAAGGACAAATGCATCAGCTGGCACTTGTAATTCAGGTCCTTGGTCTTCATCAATCTCAGTTTTCTCGTGATCATTCTGGTCAACAATATTTTTCTCCTTTTCATCAATAAGATGTTCACCTGCATGTCTAAAACCTCCAGTGCTTTCTGTCTCTCCATGGTCCATCATGTTCATCTGCTTTTCCTGTTCTACATCTAGTCCATAAAGCTCAGATTGGACAGTTACTTCTGCGTTGTCTGGATCTTCGCTCTTCATTTCACACTTTTCATCCTCATGATTCTGATCACATTCTTCATCAATATCATCTTTTTGTTCAGTCTGCCCAGTTTTATCCAACTCTAGTGGCGTTTCACTCTCCTTACATTCACTGTCTGCATGTCCTCTTTCAGTCTGACCCTCATTGGATGAAACTTCTTCATTCTCAACATGTGTGTCGCTTTCTGTGTCACATGAACTGCTCCCTCCATGATCTGTCCCAGCACAAAGATAAGTTTGTTGATCAGCTTCAGTTGTTTTGCACTCTTGTGAAATAATATCTTGCTCATTTTGTTTAGCAACTTCCTTACTTGTGGTTTCCACCTCCATTATACTTCCTATCGTTTCACCCAATAACTTCCTTTCTTCTTCCAAAACAAATGCACCAAATGACACACATTCTTCGGGTCCTTGATATTCTGCATCACCAAGTTCTTCTGTTGAAAGTCCTTCCAAAGTTTCTGTTTCTTTTGCCAAGTTGTTTTCCATTTCTATCATTTCCTTCAAGACTTGATTCGTTATTTCTTCTACATACTCTAAAGCGATCTTCACCACATCTGTGTCCCGAGTCTCCTGCTCCTCAATGCATCGCTCAGATTCGCCTTGCAGATCTAGAGTTTCCTCCAGAAACTCTGCTGGGCTCAAAGTCCGTGTTAACACAGGTTTGGCATCTGTTTGGTCCTCTGCAACATGTTGTATCTCTGCAGTTCCAGTGATTTCAGAAACACTTGAATTTCCCAGTGATTCACTGAAAGTGTCCATTGTTTCTTGAGATGATTTGCTTTCTCTTTCTGTGAACTCAAGAAGCTCGCATATCTGTAAAGTGACATTTCTGGTGTTTGATGATTGACTTTGTGTCTCAAAAGGTTCTGCTTCCTCGTCTTCGGAACTGATCTTTATTTCTGTTGTTTCAACAATCAGCTCAGTTTTGAATTCAACATGCTTTTTAAGAGAGAACTTGGTGTTGTCTATTTCCTGATGTGTCTGACTTTCTGTTGCACCTGAGGATTCGATTGGAGTTTCAATGTCTTGGTCAATCTCCACAGCTTCCTCAACTGCTTTCGGTGTCTCGGGATGCTCAACAGAGCGAGCGACAAAAGTTTCTTTTTCTGGCTGCTCTTCTGCAAGACTTTGGGGCTCGGTTTTGATCTCTTCAAAACATCCCAAAGCAGTCTCTGGCCTTTTCCTCGATTCTCCAGGGAACTCACAAACAATCGGATTTGAAAACATGCCTTCAGTTTTTATGGCCATCACCACAGGCAATCCAGTTCCTGTTTCTGAAGTATTTTCTGGAGTATCCTGTTTTGAATCTAACTGCAGGGAGTCTTCTGATGTATTAACGGTTTCAAAAAACTCATCCAATACTGAAGTCATTTTCAGTTCTGTTTCAATGTTTAATATAGTTTTTTTCTTGGAAACTGTTTGCAGTGTTTCTGCTGACTCCTGGAACTCAGATTTAATCGTGTCTTGTTCACTCTCGGTTGCACCCCTATTTTCTGGAATCATCTCCTCAACCTCATTTTTACAGAATTCTGCAATTTCATCATAATATTTTTCCAATACTTTAAGCCTTTCAGGATTTGAAAGGCCATCAGCTTCCTCTGCAGAATAGTCCAACTCTGGTAGCAAATCTTGCACTGCAAGGACAAATGCATCAGCTGGCACTTGTAATTCAGGTCCTTGGTCTTCATCAATCTCAGTTTCCACCCGTTCCTTCAGGCCAACAGTTTTTTTCTCCATTTCATCAATAAAACCTGCATGTTCAAAACCTCCAATGCATTCAGTCTCTCCATGGTCCATCATGATCTGCTTTTCCTGTTCTACATCTTGTCTATAAAGCTCAGATTGGGCAGTTACATCCGAGTTATCTGGATCTTCTCTCTTCTTTGAACAGTTTTCATCCTCATATTTCTGGTCATATTCTTCATTGTTACCATCCTTTTGTTCAATCCGCCCAGTTTCATCCAACTCCTGAACAATTTCACTGTCCTTACTGTTTGCATACACTCTTTCAGCCTGACCCTCATCGGATGAAACTGCTTCTTTCTCAACATGCGTGCCACTCTTGCATCCTCGGCTTTCTGAATCACCTGAAATGCTCTCTTCATGATCGGTCTCAGCTGACCACATTGCACAACTGTAAGCTTGTTTTCTTGCGGTGTCAACATTAGGTTCATCATTCTTGTCGTCTTTGACCACATCAGTTTTTTCCCACTGTACCGAGGCCACTTGCACTTTGACTTCAGGCAGGGAACACTTGACCTCCCCTGTGCTTTTGTCATTATGATTAGATTTATTCTCTTCCTTCTCACTACTATTTGCCTTTACTTCTCTGTTAATCTTGTTTGCTGCAGTCAAGTCAATCTGATCTGATCTGGAACAAACATGTTGGTTTCCTTCATCTGTGACTTCCGGTCTCAGATATCTTGCCACAGCCCCTGACAGATAACCCTAAATCAGCAAAATATTAAAAAAATATGACTTATTGAAGATACCTTATGACTCATCAAGATACAAATATATATATAATTGTTTAATACATATAGACTAAGCATTATACAAACACACCAAGCGTAATCACACAGACTAGTCATAATTATTCACAACATAATCAATGAAACTCGTTGATTGTAAAAGGGTGCTGCATTTACTCACCCAAACAGTCCAAATAGTGCGACCAATGCGGTTCACCGAGGTTTCAGGCGCATCCATAGCCGATTAAATGAAAAAATATGAAGTGCTGACAGATCTATGAAGCTCCTTCGAAGTTCGATCTGATTGCGAATTCTTCACAACATTCAGACCATTACAAGCACATGTCCTTTTTGTAAGTTAAGTCTTTTAAAGGAAGTTGGTGACTGACTGACGGAGCTCGCATTTGTTCAGTTCGTGATGCTCATATGTCCGGCGTTTAAATGAGGAAGACGCGCAGTGTGAAGCTGCATTAACACCAGCCAACGCACAAGCACAAACACTCGCACGGAGTCGGTTTGTGGTGAGAAAAACATAAGAGTCATTGAGCCTGGCTGTCATGTCCAACCACACATCATTTCTGTCAACACTTCTCTAAAGTTTACCGGCTGTGTGTCAAATCCTAGTGAGCTGCCTAAATAGACGGCATTTTGGACAGGCGCGTTGTGCATTTTTGGGCGCTACAGGCGCGCAGTATTTTAGAAGCGTGCAGCATTCGGACGTCATGGTTGAAATCATAATATTTAAGCACCTTAGAGTCAGAAAGCACAAAAATGCTGTCTGGGAAGGAATCTCATTAGGTCTTGAAACACAAACACATTTTTTCTGCTGCAACAGTTACAGCTGCGCAACAAGTGCGAGCAGCTCCTAAAACTTCCGTCAAGATATTTCATCATATTATAGCTTTAAGATGTAGCAAATTATGCGTTTGGACAATTATCACTTTGTTTATGGTAGAAAACTAAAGCATTAAGTGGAGGTTTAATACAATTTCATGTGCACTGTTTGAATATGCACAAGTGTTGTGGTTGAGGTTTGACATCTAGGCTAGGCTATATGCTTCCTTGGACAAAATTAGTCACAGTTGTGCATTCATTCTTTCTTTCTCACATACAGTTTAAAAAAAACAAAAAAAAAAAAAACACATAGCTTAGGCCTAATTTTAAAGAGTTTATTTAATGAAAATGGATGGTAATTCAAAAGTGTGAAGTGAATGCTAAATATTCTGTTTCATGCATCATATTAGTGAAAAAAATACTTTTTTTTTTTTTTAAGACAAAATAAATATAACAGCAAAGGTATAAAGAATCAGGTGCTCAGAGTTGGGTGGACGTCCAGAAGGATGTAGATTTCTAAATAATCTTGATGGTCGTCAAGATGACACTTCCTCTGCAGGCTCTGCAAAACACAAATCTGACAAGTAAAGTTCACCTTCTAATCTCGGCCCCAGATTGCAGCCTTCATCTCATGTGAGTGTACATCATTTTAAACATATTTATCAACCCTATTGCACTGGAGTTCAAATGTTTAGAATAATTAATTATTTTTATGTTTTTCAAAGGAGTCTATTCAGTTTTTGCTGCATGCTTAGTATTATTTTTAGGATTCTTTGAGGAATAAAAAAATGTAAAAGATTTTAAAATAGAAATCTTTTGTAACATTATACATGTCTTTACTGTCACTTGAATCAGTTTAATGCATCCTTATTGAATACATTTAAAAAAAATCTTACCCCAAATTTTAAATACCACGGTTTCCACAAAACCTGTCTTAAACATTGATAATAATCATAAATGTTTCTTGAGCAGCAAATCATCATAATGATGTAGGATCATGTGACACTGAAGACTGGAGTAATGATGCTGAAAATTCAGCTTTGATCACAGGAATAAATTACATTTTAACATATATTCAAATAGGAAACAGTTATTTTATATTGTAAATGATATTTCACAATATTTTTACTGTATTTTTTATCAGATAAATGCAGCCTCAGTGAACATAAGAAACTTATTTGAAAAACATTTAATAAAAAGAGTTAATTATTCCAAACTTTTGACCAGTTTTGGCCCGTGTATATTTGAAAGAGTCTATACAAAACTGGAAATGCTAAATATATTTAGGATATTTGTGATTTAATTTGACAGTATCCTGTAAATGACTAACTTTACACATGCACAACATCTCGTACCTCAACAACAAGCAAGAGACACATTATTCACCTGTCCAGGTAAGGTACGCAGGCGAGCTCAGTGCAGGATGGCTAATCTCCACAGTAACTCTCAGACGCTCTCTCTTCTCTTTCCTCAATCTCACAGTGTTTATATATGATGGGTCTATGTCCTCATCCTCATCATTCTCTTCCACGTGCTCATTCGGCTCAGGCTGTTTGTCCTCTTGCACTGATTTCAGTCCTTCCACGCTTTCATTCATCTTTTCATATTCTGCATTATGGTCCACACTAGGTGGCCTGATTTCTGTAGAATAAGCCAAAACTTTGTTTTCAGGGTTGTTCTAGAATCCAGATGCTGAGAATTTTTCAGTCTACTCACCATATTATTCTAAGAAATATAGGCATACCAACGCATACTTACTGCGTGCATGTCCTCCTCTGCGACTGCCACTTTCCTGTCGTCCTGTAGTCCTCACCAAAGCACAAACGCTCTTGAGCACGAGTTTCCCCTCACTGTTTTTTCTCTCTCTCTCTTTTGACGAAAGCTTGGAGACAGTTGTGCCACCAGCCGCCCAGAGCAGTTCCGCCACAGGCTTTCCTCCAGAGAGGAGAACAGAGAATATTCCCACACCATCTCTGCTCCAGTGAACCGACAAAGAACGAGGGATTGAGGGAGCAACTGAGAAGAAAAAAAAACAGAGAAAGAAAGAGGTGTGAACATAAAATGTGTGCAGTGCTTGCATGTGCAATACTCCGATGCTCTAAGGCATTGTGGGTGATTGTCAGAGTGTTGCTTAATGGTTAAGGGGTTCTCAGTTGTTTTGAGTATGTTGCTTTGTGGTTGCTAGGCTTTGCTAGGTGATTGCGTCAAAAGAGCCTCTATGATATTCTGGTCTTTAGATATGGTCTTTCTTAGTTTTATCATCCAGAAGGTGAAAGTCTGATTATTCGAAAGTTAAAGGTGTAGTAAGAGATTTCTGAGAAACGTGGTTAAGAGCTGATTGGAATCAGCCAATCAGCAGTAGGGGGCATATCCACTTATGAGATAGACATATAAAAGAGAAAAGCTCAGAGGAAAATCACTGGAAAAAGAAGGGCTATGATCGGGCAAGAGGTTTAGCACCCACATTAATATTAGAAAAGCTTTCCAGCGCTGGAGAGAACTAAGCAGGAAGGCCTGAAAACAAAGATTGCGATGTTTCTACTCCATGCGGGAGTTACATTGGTTTTGCTGTGTTTCACAGAATCAAGCTTTGCTGTAATGTAAGCTATAGTAGCAGGACAGTTTTGAGTGCCATTGTTTGTCTGGAGCTGCTGGTGACTAACAACCAACTTCTTCTTGTATATACTCTTGTGTTCTGTTTGTTCATTTCTTGTCGTTCATTCGTCATCTTCGCTTTATTTTTCGTGAAGCATTATTTTGCTTTGCTTATGCTATGATAAAGGGACATCCACTCTTGCATTGTGTGTTCATGCATTTTGGGGGCGGGCAATGAAGGGAGGGGTGTTTTTGTTTGGGTTGGTTTCAAATATCAACAGCGTTTCTCAGAAATCGCTTACTGCACCTTTAATAACACTAGCAGTCCTTAACCTGTTAACTGTCACCCCCCTTTTTTTGCATAGACATAAAAATCACTATCCAAACTTAAATGGTTGTAATTCAGGAATGCTTTGGAATATAGACCTATGGCTGGTCTTGTTTTAAAGAAGACATTTTCCAGATTATTGTAGAAGTCTAGAAATTGTAAAAAATGAAACAGAAAAAAAGTTATATAAGTTTGAGTTTATGAAATTGTGTAATGTAAAAATATAATGATTAATATTTTATATAATATATATATATTACAAAATATATTTTTACTCTAAAACTGCAAGAAAATTAAAGACAAAAATCTGAACAAGTTGTATTCCAAATTTTAGGTTGATATCTCAAAAAATGAGCTTTCAGTAAGATTTTATTCGGGCACAGTACCCAACTTTTTCACTAGGTGAACACCAGACTCCATTACTGCCCATATAAGGGCGCCTCCATTTTCATATGTTTTGAGTGATCTGAACCATGTATTTCCATAATTTTCATATAATTTATGAAGTAGACATCCTATTCAGAAGTAGTATGGGTGGTTTGGCAGTATTTGATTTGAATTAAACCTCTAATAAATGCATAAAGACTACGTTATAGCGTTATAGCTCGCAGCCGCATAACAAATCGAGAATCCATACATTTTTCTTTATATTTAAAACATTTTCAGACCTTTTTGTCTCATAAAATGGAATTGGTGTTATGTTTTGAACTCATGGCATGAAAACAAACTGAGGTTTCTACCAATCTTTCATGATTTTTCATGTTTATTGTTATTTCAAAATAAAGGCCCAAATACTACTAATGAATATGAATTATTCTTGTTGCAAATTGATAAATTTCTGCTCCTCTGTAATTTATTTTAGATAACAGCCACCAAATATGAAAACTAGAGATTTTAAGCTTTCAAATGATATATAGTTTGGCAATATTACTTTAGGTTTTTACTAAGATATTATTGTTTTAAACATGCAATGGCAAGTGGTTAAGAGGTTAAAGTCCCTGTAAAGTCAAAATTAAGTATGTGTTCTGAGTTTGTCACACCACAGAAAAATGTGTTATTAGCCACCCAGCCAAATTTGACTGATAAAAAAAGCCGGCAAGTACATAAAATAAGCTATCAAAATCTTGAAAAAAAGCTCTCAAACGCTGGGGGCGTGTCCGCTGGCTGCGCTGAAACCACGCCCACTCGCGGGAAAGCTGCCGACGGTGATATTAACTGATAGTGCTTTCGGGACGGGGAGATGAAGGCCGAGGCGGGAGATAGTCGGTTTGGCCCCATTCACCAGTAACAGCGGATTATCATCGACGAAAGTTTATAAAACTATCCCATGTAAAATGATCGCTACAGAGGCGGGTGTTGGTGGTGATCCTCAGCTCTCCATCAAGGTGGCTCTTCAACAAAATTAATCCACCTCTTCTTGATGTGATCGTTTTTAGGAAATTTAAATAAAGACACCGATCTGTTTTGTACATGATCGCATCCAGGTAGCAGCCTACGCATTTCCTGTCGAAGGCATAGCTAGCTAGAAAACTGTAGGCTGTAGTAACTAATAGTACTGACAGTAACTCACGATTGAGCGCCGAACTGATGCCAATGTGCTCTATTGTTAGGGGAGGGGCCAGCCTCAGTGCGTCATCAAGTAGGGGCGTGTCCAGGAGCTCAGGGGCTCCAGTGCGTCATCGAGCCCCGTTTTAGCCCCGCCCAAAAAATCCGGAAAATAGCAATGGTGAAAAACTGTTTCACGGTCTAACTCCACAATTCAGTACTTCATAGTTCACAGTCTTTGTAATATGTTTTAGCAATACATTTCTAACATTTATAATGGGTTTAGACATTTTTTTTAGAATTGCCTTTACATGGGACTTTAACAAGCCGCACGATTGGCATACCTTAGCAAGTCATATTAAAATTAAGATGTATTAAACATAAAAATTGACATAAATCAATTTATCTCTATGTATGATATGCATTTACATTTCTTTTTAAAATTAGAAACTTTTTTTTTGTGATGGACAGTTAAATATTTACACACTACCGTTCAAACTTTGTGGTCAGTAAGATAAAAAAAGAAGAGATTATTACTTTTAAATTGATTAAAATGACAGTAAATACATTTATAATGTTCCAAAATATTTCTGTTTTAAATAAATGCCGTTCTTTTGAACTTTCTATTCATATATTTCTATTTAAAAAAAAATCACGGTTTCCTCAAAAATATGAAGTAGCGCAACTGTTCTCAACATTGCTAATGATAAGAAATGTTTCGGTAACACTTTACAATACGGGTGCACTAATAAGCATTAATTCATGCTTAACTAATGCACAGATAATACTGAATTAATGTGTAACTAATGATTATCTAAGCTATTAATTAATGATTACCACATTAGGAACTAATTACGAGTCTGTATGGTTAATGTATTATTTCATACATTCATTGTTATTAATTAAATATGTAATTCTGAATTAATTCCCTAATAACTCCTTTTTTAACTAATAGTGTTAATTAATATGTTAATTACCAGAATGAGCCAAAGCCTGGTATTTCAACTTCCAGATAATACAGGTACACTAATATGCATTAATACATGATTAATTACTTCATTGTTAGTGCAAATTCATGTGTAAATTACTACAATTACTAAATGACTAGTTAATAATGATGTGCCTCAACAAGTAAAGGCATAACATGATGATACCTTTGCAAATCAGACAACTGGAAGTTGAAGTGCATAGCTTTGACTAACTGTGGTAATTAACACATTAATTTACACTATTAGTTAATAAAATATGTTATTAAGGAATTAATACACAATGACACATTGAATTAATAGCAATTCATGTATTACTTAATCTATTAATCATATAGACTCTTTATTAGTTGCTGATGCAGTAATCATTAATTAATGGTTTAGTTCTTCATGAATCATACATTAACTCATGATTATCTATGCATTAGTTAAACATGAATTAATGCATATTAGTGCACCCGTATTGTAAAGTGTTACCAATGTTTCTTTAGCAGCAAATCCGCATATTACCGGTAGAATGATTTCTGAAGGATCATGTGACAGGAGTAATGGAATAAATGCATAAAAATGTTCAAACAAAGAACAGTTATTTTAAATTGTAATAATAATGATATACTGTATTTGATCAAATTAATGCACTGGTGAGCTGAGCATACAAGAGTTATTTTAAAACCATGAAAAAGATTATTCATTTTCAGAAATCGATTATTTTTGAGTGTGTCCTTTTACCCATATGAGCATTTCTCCAGAATCTCTCAACAGGCTTCAGGAGGGAGCAGTGTGCCACTCTGCAGACGATCTCCGCTCCCCTCGCTGTATCATCCAGCGCTTTAAGTAATGCTTTTGCTCGAAATGTCCTCGGCAGAGTTTGCAAAGGACCCCAAAGCTCAGCTCCCTCTCGGATTTCCCCTTCGCTGTCCTCTCCCTCCTCCATCTCATTCCCTTTTAGATGCAGCCATGTAACAGAGATTTCAGGGGGGTAGAAACCAGTTATGTCACAGGCCAGGGTCAAAGGTCCCTCCTCAGCAGATGGAAGGGGAGAGATGATTTCTGAAATGGTGGGCTTTTTTATGAATCCTAAAAAAGAGAAAAAAGTCAGTTATTTGATCAAACATTTGTTTTTGTTGTTAATGTATTTCCAGCATTGGAATGGACTGCTATGATACTGCTATGATACATACTTTACGTGATTGATTGTACTGTATGTTTGCAAATAAAGTTCGATATAATATATATCTAGGGTATTTTGCTTCAAGTTTGTTGTTTAAATGTCTCAACTCTGCATTCTGGATAAAATATTCCATACAGTGTGCTCTGGTTGTACTGTATACTGAACATTTTGGTGAACAATGAAGTAGGTCATCCAGCTATTTAAAAAAAATCACATACTGTGCAAAGTATATACTCTACTAAAGTGGGTGGGCACTAATGCACTCTATACTGAACACAGCCTTAAAGGGACAGTTCACCCAAAAATGAAAATTCTGTAATTAATTACTCATCCTCATGTCGTTTCAAACCCATAAGACTTTCGTTCAACTTCAGAACACAAATTAAGATTTTTTTTTTTGGATGAAATCTGAGAGCTTTCTGTCACTCCATTGACTGCTACACAACTACCACTTTCAAGCCCCAGAAAGGTAGTAAAGACATCATTAAAGTAATCCATGTGACGGTTTAACCTCATTTTTATGAAGCGACATGAGTGCTTTGTTCACGCAAAAAACACAATTTACCACGTTATTCACAAAATAACAATCTCCAACGCGCATTCTCGCAACAACGTCCGAAGATAAACAAAAGTCGTACAGGTTTGGAAAGACATGAGGGTGAGTAATTAATGACAGAATTTAAATTTTGTGTGAACTATCCCTTTAATCTTATTTACAAGAATTCAGTTATTTCATTCCAGTGCTCACCTCGGGTTTCCCGTGTGATGGGTTGTTTTAGGGCCATGTGGTGAACGGTGACCCACACCCTGGCTTCTCCTCTCTCCAGCTCTGCTTTGGGCAGCCTGCACTGGCTCATGGCTGAGAAGAAGCCTTCAGCATCAGGCCGAGGAGCTGCCAGCGCTGGCGGGACGGACACCGGGCTCAGCTCGCCTCCCTCACAGAACCAGCGGAAGGTGATGACGTCCGGATGAAAGTGAGAGGCCTGGGCTATCATTGTCACAACTCCTGGGGAGAGGGTCCGTTACTGACAACCTTTCATGATGCGTTTAAATAGTTTGAAATATTTGAATGTGTGTTCTGTATGTGATACCTCCTTCGTCGTTTGGCTCTGAGAACTGGATCTCTGAAACTTCCGGTGGTGCTAAACCAAAAAAAAAAAAAAAAGCTAATGTCCACAAATGTAAACATGATGAAATGAAAATATATGTAAACCTGCATCTTGTTTTATATGAGAGAACAAAAATGATTAACAGGAACCAGTAGCTGAAACCAACTGGAGGTGAACCTCGCCAAGCCTGGGTCAACATGTCTGGGTCATATTTCACTCTAAAATCAATCTACAAATAACTTTTTTAATCCAATTCTCATAACTGTAATGTAAAAACAAACAAACAAACAAATATATATATATATTGTTATATTTAATAGCCTATATATTTATAGACATATTGGTAACACTTTACTTGAAGGGGTGTGCATAAGACTGATATGGCACCTTCATAATCATGACATGACGTCATGAATATGAAGGAGGTCTTATGCATGTTTATGACAACTGTCATTAAGTGTCATTCGCTCAATTATGACATTTTGAATGCAAATATGACATTGTTTGAGATGTCTTTGTTATGACAACTTTGTTATGACAACTTGACATAAACCAATAGCCTACATCATAACCTGTCAGTGTCTTGGTAATGACAACTTGACATTAACAAGACAACATAAATTGTCATAAATATGTCATAAACATGACATAGCAGATTAATTATCAAACTTAAGAAACCACTTAGCTTTGTGGGTTAACATTACATTAAACTGTCATGTGGTTGGTTTTGACATTGGCTGTCATGAAGCCATTATAACTGTGTCATGAATATTTTTCTTGACCTCAACTACAGTGGTACAAATTGAATTTGTCATTGTTATAATGGCCTCATGACAGCCAATGTCAAAACCAACCACCTGACAGTTTAATGTAATGTTAACCCATAAAGCTAAGTGGTTTGTTAAGTTTGATAATTAATCTGCTATTTCATGTTTATGACATATTTATGACAAGTTGTGTTGTCTTAGTAATGTCAAGTTGTCATGACAAAGACACTGACAGGTTAGGATGTATTGGTTTATGTCAAGTTGTCATGACAAAGACATCTCAAACAATGTCATATTTGCATTAAAAATGTCATAATTGAGCGAATGACACGTAATGACAGTTGTCATAAACATGCATGAAACCTCCTTCATATTCATGACATATGTCATGTCATGATTATGAAGGTGTCATGTCAGTCTTATGCACACCCCTTCAAGTAAAGTGTTACCGAACTATTTATAATTCATTGTAGAATTTGCATTTATTATATTATATTTAAAAAAATATTGTAAGAAATCACCCTTTTAGAATAATTGGAGTTACAAAAAAAAGCGCATGTCTAAACACATTACAATAATGATATTGAGGGAAAATGTGATTAATTATCATGAAAATAATGTCTACTGTAAAAATCTTAACATTGATAAAAAGGCTTGAATTTCTTTGTGCAAAATATAATTTCTTCCATTTCTTTATTTTGGGGTGATATGAGACCTGGACATTTTTTTGAGAGATTTTTCCAATAGCTTCAAAGAAAATAAAGCAAGCTGCAGGTAAATCATGAGGTTAATGCATGGTGCGTTGAAGTCACAGGAAAGATCGTATTTATGAGTTGAACGCAAATTCAACGTCATCACAAAGTCGTAATTACGAGTGGGAAACTCAGAATTTTTGAGGTGGGGGTGTGTCAATGACAAAACATGTTGGATGCAATGGATGCAGCATCTATAATGGTAGATTTGTTCAAATTAATGTTTTTTTTTCTCTTCTCATTAACATAAAAAAAAAAAAAAAAAAAAAAAAAAAAAAACCTGATGCACTTTTTTATTCATCATTTAGTAGATGCAGATTTTTTAAATCTGTGAATTTTATGTAGAAAAGGTATCACTATATTTTAATACATTTAAACACACCTGACATCATAATTACGACTTCCAAACTTGTAAATACAAACTTCCCAGGAGATGCATCAATACACCTCAACATGCCCTCTGACCTAGAATAGTAAACTTGTCGGACACTCTCTCGGCCACAATCTTGTCTTTCTCCTTATACGAGATGTGGCATTTGAAGACTGCGCCCTTGTGAATGGACAGGTTGGGTATAAATGTGACCGAGGAGAACAGTTGTTTGTTTAGGCTGGAGGACGAGCGCGGCGGCATCTGTGTGTGTATCTTGTAATATCCCGAGGCAGTAGAGGGCAGCAGAGGGCCTTTCTCTGACATCACAGTCACACGAGAGTTACGAGGCGTGTAGGATGCTGAGTGAAAAGGACCATATTTTTTCTCTGTGTGTGAGAGAATGAGAGGATGAAACACATATACAGACAAACAGACGGTTTGAATTAATAATGCACGTTAATAATTTGAATAAGTTAAGAAATATCTCAACTTCATGTCAACAACTGCTTTTGTCCATTTGACTTAATGAAAGCAGTGTGAAAACAATTCATTTAAATGTCAGTTTCAAACATCATGGAGATAGTTTTGTTTCTACTATTCTGTGTTGACTAGTTCCAGATAACATGATTTCATTTGCAATTGTTTTATACAAATTCACAGCAAAATTCCTCTATCCATAATCAATTTATGTGTCATCAGATTTGATTAATAAACTGTAATGGCCAAATATATAATGGTCCTCTTAATAGTTAAGGATGAAGGTGAATACGTAGTGGTCTTAGTTGGCTGATACCTTTGTATGAAGTGTCTGTGATGGGCACATCATTCAGAAACCATGTCGTTTGTACCTTCTCTGCCAACCTGCCTTCCACACTGATAGTGACTCTGCCTTTCTTACCCACAATCACCCTGGGTGGCAGAACAATCGCTGAGATGTTCAGAGACTTCAGCTTCTCTGAGAAAAAGATATGCATGAGAAAAAAAAAATAGGTTTAAGTGTTAGCATTTCCATTCAGCTCACTAGCATTCTGCCATCATTTGTTCATAGTCACTAGTAACTATCCTGACCTGTCACATTAAAGATGAAATGGACTTATAAAAATATAAGCCCATTTCATGCTTTTAAGGGCTTGAACAAATCTACTATGATGAAATATTTGCAATTTATCCAGTATGTCGCTTTCCAATAATGTCATCAGAATGCACAGCTTCTTTTGAATACCTGCCAATGGAGAAAGATGCTTTTTTTTTTGCACCATAATAGTGCAGATTAAGCTTTTACATCCAGGGGTAGCACTAGCAGGGCCATACTAACAAAGAAAAGCTTGATACCTTGCTTCTAATAGAGTGACAAGTCACATTTACAGCTTATGTTATTGGCTCAAAATGTTTCCAGATTGGCAACGTTGTCACATACTTTTTAGGTATGAATCAAGCAACTCCCATTAAGATCAATGGAATTGCTAACAGAAAGCTTTGTGATAATATTTTATTAAGTCATTGGTGTGTAACCAGACTTACCATCCCTTCTCTTCCAAGAAAATCCCAAGCAGAGCAATAAAACAAGGGTGAGTGAAATGATCATCATCGCTACCGAAGCCTTGGCTGACTTATTCAGACCTTGGTTTTGCACTGAAAGAGATTAGAGCAGTAAATGTATAAAATATCCTTTTCTCCTGTACTTGTTTTCTATAACATTTAACACACTTCACCTTTAATCCAATTAAAACACAACACTAGTCGAATGATGCATTCAAGTCATGTCGGAAAGATTATATTTACGAGTTGAACACACATGAATGTCAACATTCTTTAAAGAATTAAAGGTTAAAGGTTTTCTTTAAAAGGTGCTCTAAGCGATGTCACGCGTTTTTTAGGCCCAAACATTTTTTGTCACATACAGCAAACATCTCCTCACTAACCGCTGGCTGCCTGTCCCCTGAACACACTGTAAAGAAACGTGATCTCTGTAGACAGCCCAGGCTCCACAAACAGCAACAAAAACAAACTGTGGCGACCCGCTCCACGAAACATAACAAACTGTTCCAGCCAATGACCGACAAGAAGGGTTTGGGGGGTTAGTGTGCGGATGAGGAGTAGGGAGGGTCTAGCTAGCCTCCGTTTTGTTTGACAATAGTTCGAACGTCAACAAGAAGTGACATCACCCATCGCTTAGAGAACCTTTAAGCCCAGAAGTTTTAATTTGTGTGTGAGTCAGAGTCAGTCATAATGGATGCATCATCTGTATTAATGGCAATTTAAAAAAATATATATATATTTTCTTGATTTATCATAAAAAACGCACCCAATGCACATTCTTCACCATTTTCTAGATGTAGAGTAGCCTGGGAAAACCCAGACAACTTTCGGCAAATTTAGATTTGCTCTGAAAGTTAGTCTGGCAAAGAGCTCATTCAAGCTCATTTCCAATCCGTCGAAAATCGAGGCACCAATCAGAAACGTTGGGGCGGGCTTTACACGATGACGACAGCGCTGGGATTTTGAAGCAGATTTTGTAGCCTACATTACAAAGATGGATGCCGCCGTCGAACATCACTCGTTCGAATCAGCTATCGCGTCTGTTTTAAGCCATTTGAACGTTTCCTTTTTGTTAAAAACCGAGCAAAGAACAACACTCGGAGATGTTTCTCCGCCGCTCTGCATACGTCATCTCCTTCATCGCTCTGATTTGTTTTAGGTCTATCCGCGACGTCTGTTGGTGACGCCCCTCTGGAAATGATTTGTCTATGACGCTTTGCCAGACCATAACTCAGATACAACTGAGAATGGTCTGGTTTTAACCAGGCTAGATGTAGAGTTAAAAAAAATCTTGTTGAATTTTATGTAGAAATGGTACATCGTCATATTGCTCTCACCAAAGTGATTTCAATACAGCTGACATCATAATTATGACTTTAACTTGCAAATAGAAACTTCCCATGAGAACTTGATTGCAACAAAAGTAAGCTAATAATGTCCAATCCTCCTCCTGAAGGGCCACATTCCAGCAGAAATCAGGTCTATCCCACCTTAACCAGCTGATCAAGCACACCTTAACCAACTAACCAAGGTATTCTAGATCACTAGAAACTTCCAGGCAGGTGTGTGGTGAGATATACTCTGCAGGAATGTAGTCCTCCAGGAGCAGTGAAGTGCAAGAAGGCAAGTGAAGTCCTTTCTCCCATACCACGTGGGTCATCAGTGGAAAGGTCAATGGTTCCATAGGCAGGTTCTTGCACATTGTGTTGCTGGGCCACACATTTCACCTCTCCTCCTCTGCTCCTCTCCTCCACACTCAAGGTGTGATACTGATGTCTCATATACATTCCATCCTCATTCTGGATGGACAAGGGAAGCTCAGGAAGAACCTTTCCATTCTGGATCCATAGAATGGATAGGTTGTTAGGGTAGAATCCACTGATGTCACAGGAGAGGGTGAGTGGGGATGAGTGGGAAGATGAGGGAACAGTTGAGAGAGTGACCATCGGGAGAACTAAAAAAAGAGAAAAAAAATAATGAAATATACTAAAAGTACCAGTAATAAATCTTAGCCACATATTACTAGTAGTCCATTAAAACCACATTATCTTTACATGAGTATGTTGATTTCCCTGATAAATAAATGACCATGAATAAGTAGTAGAATTTCAGCCTTGAATGGCCTGCAAGATTTTGGAAAGCAACTATTGCCTAGTTTAGGGGTGTCCAATCCTGCTCCTGAAGGGCCACTGTCCTGCAGAGTTAATCTCCAAACTTAATTAAACAGCCCTAATGATCCAATGGTTATTGTGTTCACGATTAGTACAAATTCCCAAGCAGGTAAGCTGGAGCAGGTTGGAGTCAAACTCGGCAGGACGTTGGTCCTCCAAAAGCAGGAGTGGACACTTCTGGCCTAGTCTGACTTCAGTCAATGAATATGTATTTGCAAAGTATTCTTAGACATCAGAAAATGAAACAACTGCTTCATAGGCATAAGTGCTAGCACAGACGAGTGAACCATCTTGAGACAGCATTGCATACTTGCATTCTGTCCCAAATGATTCCAATTGATGTTCATGTAGTCTACAATACAAATAGGGCAGGGTTCTTCAACTCTAGTCCTGTGGGCTTATGTCCTGCAGACTTTAGTACCAATCCCAATTTAACCCACCTGTAATTTGCAAGTAATTCTGAACATCTTGATTAGCTTATTTGAGTGTGTTTGGTTAGGGTAAGTGCTAAACTCAGCAAAAAACACTAACCCTCCAGGACTGGAGTTGAAGTGCCATATAGGGTGTCCCTGTGGCAAGGGGTGTGTGGTTCAGGACGGACTGTAACGGGAGAGAGAGAAAGGAGGCAAGGGTACGTAAGTAGGTCAAGGGCAAATGACGAACACCTGTCTTGTTGCAGTAATGGGCGTGGAGAGACCGGATATAAGCCGCTGTCGACTGAGAGACGAGAGAGAAGGACTGAGGACTCGTACGCCGCACGTGGTTTGAGTTTATCTGGAAAGAGTATTGGAGCTGATTGATTGTTTATTGTTCATGCTGTAGTTGAATGCAGCGGTGAATGTGCACTAAGGAAGAAGACAGGTTTGACTGGGACTCGTACGTTTATTCACAATAAAACAAACCCAATCAAAAGGCGCACACACAGCGCATTCACCAATGAATGAAGTGTTTAGGAATGATGTAGGAAGTTCATGTATGTCAAAGAAGAACAACCATAATCTATCCATTACATCCTGATAGTTTTCCCCCAATTCAGACTTGCAGAGCAAAACTGACAAGATGAAGAAGTTATTTCCTTCATCAATTGCAACTGATGCCTGAGACAAATCCCACAGCATAAGTTGCACAATTCTGCAAAAAACTTGCGACGTGAACTGATGAAGCCACTTGATTGAGTGGTGAAATGCATGCAACTGATGTTAAATAAGCTGAAAGAACTTGTACATGTTGTACTGTTACAGCAAAAGTTGCATCCTGTTTCAAATGAATGACATCTACCAATCAAATGTGTACATTCTGAATACCTATAATGTAAGGTGTGAACTCCTCAAGGATAGGTTTCACCAGGGCTGTATGTTGCACCTTACAGCCAAAGCTTGTGTTCTGGTCAGAGATTTCAGGGGTCAAGGTTAGCCAGCTGACTGCATCGTACAGCCCGTCCTCTGTACGGTTCACTTGCAGCTTTTGGGGTTCTTGGATCTTGTTTCCTGCTCGTGTCCAGGTAAACATGATTTGTGGAGGACTAAAGCTCCTTGCCCAACATTCGAACACACTTTTTCTTTTCAGGAATACTTCAGGTAAGATGAGGGAAACCAGTGGAGGAACTGTAAGAGATTTAGAATACAACTCTGAGGTTTAGCTTGTCTGGGATATGTATCTGATATTATATTTATTTATATGAATAAGTTGGACATTGGTCCAGTGTTTTTCAACAACAGCCACTATTTCATACAAGTGACCTATGTGAGATGCACTTGAGACTTACCAAGTATTGTCAGAGTCACATCTGTGAAGTAATCGGTTTCATTATAGTTCACCCTGCACTCATACACCCCTTGCTGATCTGGAGTGGCATTGTAAACAGTCAGTGGGAAGGAGCCAATGAAGGAAGCAGTTGTGTTCAAGAAGAAGCCCGGTTGAGTGTGATTCCTTGAGGCAATGACTAAACCACCGAAGGACCAGGTGATGTTTAAGAGTGAATCATCAACTAGAGGCGGCAGTGTAAAGGAGCAGTTGAGGAGAGCCGAGGAGCCCGGAGACACAGAGACATCTGCAGAGGAGCCTGAGTTTAAGAGAAGGCCAGAAAAAGATGAAAGGAAAAGCATTTAAATTTTCACTCTTAAAGTGGACCTATTACGTTTTTTTAACAAAAGTTTTAAAGATCAAAGTGCACAACAAATTATATTATTGTCTCTTAAAAGAAAGAATCGATTCTGAACTGCTGTCACAGTCTGAATTCTGAACAGTCTCAATTCCAGTCTCACTTCCTGTTGCATACCAATGTAACAATGTAACATATTAGCATATTTGCATAATGCCAGCCTATGGTCTTCATTGGGTGCCTGCGAACAAGGTCTACTTTGACCCGCCCTCAGACACTGTAGATGTAGCTGAGAAGACGCTGTTTTCAGTGCTGCGAATCTACTTTGCATGCACTTAAAAAGGATGGGGACTCGTGTTGGAATTGATTCAGTAAAACCCACGCCATTGTTAAAGTTCAGATCACTGTGTATAAAACTGCTGAGGAAGCCTCTGGAGCTGAAATTCAGATATGGTAGTAGTGATGTAAGCGGTAGACCAATCACAACAGACTGGGCCGTCTGACCAATCAGAGCAGAGTAGGCTCACGTTTAGACTGAATCTTTGAACGAGCCGTTTTCAGACTCTGAGAAATTAGGTGATGTGCAATGTATATTATGAGAACATTCATGTGTTTTTGACCTCGGATGCATGTAAACTTGTACGAGACCTCCAAAACAAAATTAGGAACCTTTAAAATAGCATAACAGGGGCACTTTAATAAAAAAACAAGAGGAGTAGCTCTAAGCCTGTGCTTGATTTAGGACTGCCTAAAAAATAAGGTGATAACACATTGATCAAACATCTGGATCAGACACTTAAAGGTTTTAAGAAAAGCACTTACGTTCAGGAGAACTGTCACTTGATTAAGCGCACTGCGAGTTGTTTTGGATCTGCTTTATAATAATTAACTAGGCATTCTTACTAGACCTCTCTATATGTGGACTACGCATGATATTATTATTCCCATGACTGGATAACACGAACTAATGCCTTTCTTGGCTTTTGTCTATCATTCTAAATTCAAACGTTCTTGCATTTCTGATTTAAAAGATGGCATGCTGTATTGACAACTAAGTGTGCTAAATAAACATGTACAATAAAAAGAGGAAATGAAAAAATAAAATTTTAATTAGGAGACAAAAACTTTAGAGGGCTATTTATAACAACAACAACAACAATAATAATAATTATTAATAAACACTTATGTGCCATTGTGAAATGTTTGTCAGTGTATTTAATGACTATTAATATTTTCCATTTATGAAAGGAGGCTGTGGAAACGAACAACTTGGACATTTCTGGTATAACATTTTTTGAATCACACAGTTATTGTTCTTCTTTGGGCAAATTTCCCCTTATCTTCAATCTTCAATAATGTAGAAAATACAAAGCATTCAAAACCACCAACACTGTCCTGCAAAATATTGTAAGCATAGTCTAGTTTTAAACTTTAAAATTCAGTTGAGGACAATTACAAAATATATAGCAAACATTAAATCACTTTTTGTCTTGGCAATGAGAACTTTAGAGAACCTTAACAATAGATGTAGTGTTGTTTGTGTAATGCGACGCATGGGCTATAGTACTCACCTGGCTTTATTAGGCCCAGCAGCCATAAATAGAACAGGACTTTAAACTTCATGCCGATTTACTGGAGTGCGAACATACTCCTTATCATTACTCTATTTCTTTCTTTCATTGCTTCTTGCTCTTTGTATTGCATACTGAAAAACACACTTATATAGGGACAGGGGACAGTAGGCGGGGATCAAGTGGGCAAAGGAAAAGATACTGAGTGCTTGTGAAAAAGGGGGTGTACCAACTTTATATCTACTGTTCAATGCAGTCATTCAGTTTGATCACTAAGAGAGAGAGAGAGAGAGAAAGTTAAATGGTGTGAAGAGGGTAAAGACGGGGTACTAAGAGAGGGAGAGAGAGAGAGATGTTCAAAGACACATTTAGGACAGTGGTCACTTAAAATTCAATCTGGCCTCCATCCAATGTTCTGGACTACTTTACATTCATGCTGTATAGTGACCCAACTCAAAATGGGGTTCACCAGTAATCTTGGGCCTCTGTTAAAATAACTGTACTTCCATTTGGAGGACACGGAGGAGACACCTTTTGCCATTCAACTTCATCTAGTTCTGTCCGTCTCCATCTGTGGTGAAACATTAACATAATAAAGAGTTTTAGAAGCTAGCACTGTACAATATTTACAGCTGTGACCACACGATAACCAGCTTTATTAGTGGATCGGAGTATTATTGTCCAGGAATGTGTATCTATAAAGATACAGTCATTTGTGTTCAGTTGAATCAGTGATATCAAAGCCTGTCGTATCTCAAAGGACAATGCCACAGATTAGATAAATATAGATATCACTGCATAACACAAAGCTTGCTTGTTGTCTTTTCAACTAATACTTTTCTCATTTACTTTTGAGATAATTTGTTTTATTCCAATGAAATTATGTGAAAGCCTGAATTTTGATAATTTTGTATTATGTTTTGGCAATATAATTAAACCATGCGAATAAAGCTCTGTTGATTCTGACTATCCATTCTCTTTCTCAGGTTCAGTTTAGAGAGTGTTTGACAATTTCTCTGTAAGAACCTTCGGAGAAACTAGAGGAAAACTAGAGAAAGTGAGGATGGATGATTGAGAAAGAGATATGGCAAAGAAAAAGAGTAAAAAGAAGATTTACAGTGACAGAAGGAATGAAAGAGAGAGAAAATAAGGAACACAGGGCCCCTCAGAAAGGAATAAAGGGGTCACTGTTTCAAAGCTTATTTTAACACTGTTGAATGTTAGTTCTCCTCTATGTAATATGAAGAATGAACACATTATTGCTGCAAGACAAACTTGTTTGACCAACTGAATTTTGGAAGACATTAATTACAGGGTTCGCGAAACTTAAAGCCTAAAAGATAAAATTTCTTATTAACTTGCTCGGAGTTCAAAACTTGGTCTTCCCCCCTTGCATCTATTTATCCACACTCAAAAAAATGATATGTTGGCTTTACTTAACTTTTTTATGTAAACAGGTTCCACCGGTTCCACATAACTATGTTTCGTTAAAGAAACATAATATGTTCATGTAACTTCAACATCATGGAATTTGGTCATTTTAAGCGACCCAATTAAACTCTGAGCTAATGAGTTAATTAAGTGAATAACTGAGTGATGATTGAGCATTATTGAAGACACCTGATGTTAACAAGCAGAATCTCTGAAGGAGAAAACCGGAATGTTTAAGTCACCATTATGGAGATAAGTATTTGTTTTAGTTGGGCTCTTGACCATTAACTTATTAACTTTAGATTTTGTTTGGTTGCTGTACATGAGTTATAACAGCCAGATGAACAATGAACTAAGGAGATCTGATGGTGTTGGTTGTGATTTAACATAATCATTATTTCACAATCATTTGACCTCAATCACTGAACTTATATTGAACCCAATTTCTGAGTTAATTTTACCTTACTGTCATTGTAGAGCATACTATTTTTAGCCTTTTCAATGAAATTCAAATGATCAAATCAAGAAATAAAAAATACACTTCTTAAAAAATATCCTGAGTAGGCACACACAGACATCAAGAATCAGCATATGAATCTCAGCAATGGTGACAAACAGATCATAAGCTCATTATTTATTCATGCAGCAATGCATGATGGGAGCCATGAATGAGTTTTGATTGGTGGCACCCAGAATGCACTGCAACATGCTTTAAATTGTCACCATTGTTGAGATTCACAGGCTGATTCTTGATGTCTGTGTGTGCCTACTCAAAATATTTTTTAGGAAGTTTCTTTTTTATTTATTGATTGGATCACTTAAATTTCATTGAAAAGTCTAAAAATAGTATGCTCTACAATGCTGCTATTATTCATAAGGTAAACTTAACTCAGAAATTCGGTTTAATATAAGTTCAGTGACTCAGGTCAAATGATTGTGAAATAATGATTATGTTAAAACACAACCAACACCATCAGATGACCTTTGTTTATTATTCATCCGGCTGTTATAACTCATGTACAGCAACCAAACAAAATCTAAAGTTAATACGTTAATGGTCAAGAGCCCAACTAAAACACACACTTATCTCCATAATGGTGACTTAAACATTCCGGTTTTCTCCTTCAGAGATCCTGCTTGTTAACATCAGGTGTCTTCAATAATGCTCAATCATCACTCAGTTATTCACTTAATTAACTCATTAGCTCAGAGTTTAATTGGGTCGCTTTAAATGACCAAATTCCATGATGTTGAAGTTACATGAACATATTATGTTTGTTTAACGAAACATAGTTATGTGGAACCGGTGGACCCTGTTTACATAAAAAAGTTAAGTAAAGCCAACATATCATTTTTTTGAGTGCCATAGATGCCTTTACATTGCAAAGACAGGGTCACGTTTATAAGTCGCATGCAAAAAGATTGATTTTACCACAATACATGGCTGGTTTTGATTGACCGTCAATGGAGAAAGATGCATTTACCCAAATAATACAGCATCTACCAGCAGGGGATATCAGCTAACCAGCCAAACCTTGACCTTGTTTGTACACTAAAAAAAAAAGGTGTAGGATTTACTTTAAAACTTTTTTCACTCAGAAATTGCTAGTAAATTGCACAAATAATTACAAAGAAATGGCAACTACCACATTAAATTAAATATTACATTATGATAGACTGAAATTGTAGGCTATTTTCTTTTTAAAACATACTCCAATCTTGGTTTTATTTACAACTTTGAAAAATCTTTTGTACAGTGTATGTTACTTTAATGCGTGGTTTAATAACACACGAGTGGTTTCATAACTCTGAATCACGTCCTGATTTTGCATATGCGTTCCTGGGTCAACATATTTTTTGTTGAACCAGGAACAACATTCCTTTCCGAAAATGTAATCACAACCAAATCCCTTCCCCTAAACCTAATGATAGGTGAAAGATAGTTGAATAACACTGATGTAGAAGCACCAAACCCTTGTTTTAAGTCTAAACTTGACATAAACTTGCCCCACAAATGTGATTTTGATGGTTGATTGGAATATTGTTCCAGGATCAACAAGGATGTTGATCCAGGAAAATGTATTAAGTGAAATCAGGTTCTGATAGCAAGTCACGTCTCCTTAAGATGCGGAAAGACTTGTGGAATCACATCCAGTCATTTATTAAATGTATTTATTTATTAGATGCTTTATCCAAAGCCATTTATGAATGAGAATAATACACACAGAAGCTAAAAGGTACACACAATACAACGATAGCTACTATACTGTATATATGTTCTTTTTAGAGGTACAAAGTATAAAATCTTTATGTTTCCAAATCAGACATCAAACACAAGCATTGCTATAATGTGACATCAAATTGCATTGACATTGTGTGCATAAACCTATCAAATATTCTTAAAAGAGTGAATGCACCGGACTCATAACACAACTTATAACTCATAAATATGGACAATATGTGTCATGATTCCTGTCTTGTGTTCCACTTGTCTTGTGTGTACTTTTGTCATTTCCTGTCTTGTGCTAAGTTTTGTAGTCCTATGTAGTTTTTCATGTTGATTCGTCTCTCCAGGTGTATCTTGTTTCCTCATTATCTAGTTTGTTTGCCCCTGTGTATTTATAGCCCTTGTGTTTCATTTGTTACTTTGTCAGTTGTTGGACATGTATGGTTGTTTCTAGTCCGGTCCTTCTTGTGGTTTTATTTCTTTGTCCCTGGAGTTCTTTATTATTTGTTCTATGTGTTATTTCGTTAAAACCTTGCAGATAGATCCTCGCCTTAGCCTGCTTTCTCCAGCACGTTACACTATGTCCCAGGGTTTGATTTTTAACTTCAACATAAAATCTAAATCTAAATGTTAAAATGAATCACAAAAATATTAAACTTTAAAACCTATTAAATCTAGACTAAGAGTGAAAGTAATATAAAACATTTAAATATTTGTTAAAATTATTTAGGCTAGCTATACAATGTTTTCCCCCACAAATTATAACTGATCTCGGATGTGGCTTCATTTTCATCACAAAATATAATATTACATAGAATATCATAAAATCATTTGAAATCAAACTCTAGTTGTGTCAAGTTGTGAAAGTATTAATTCTGTGTATTTAATGTAAGTTTGAGCTATTACAAGCATCACTATGCATTCTTATATTTACAGGAAGTAATGAGACGAGTCAAACCTGTTTTGAGATGTTTGTCATTGACGTCGTACACGTCAAACTGGGGATTTAAAGATAATAAAAGAGGCAAGGCACCTCTCTTTCACAACACTTCCCTTCAGCCATGGAGTTGTCAGTGATCTTGATCAGCTCTTTCGCCATGATGAGTATGGAGGGTGAGTTTCATCATGAGTATATACAGTAGGTCGAGTCAGATGTTTAATGTGAATAGATTTCCTTGAGATTCACTACAGAGCATCATTTTCTTAATCACTATTTTGCTTTCCATGAATATCAAAACATCCTTAAACTTGAAAAGTTTCATGTCTAGGATTTCATGTCTTTCTTCCTTTCTGTTGAACTGTCGTTTAGGATTTTTTTCCGTTTTTTGTGAAAGTTCGAAATTGTTTGCTCTTTTCTCCGCAGGTTCAAATGCGCAGCAGACCTACGGTAAGAGCAGCACAAGATAAATCATACACAAGTTATATTGTGGTAATAGGGCTGCACGATTTTGGGGAAAAGTTTCATTGAAATTTTTTAATTGTGATTATGATTTAAAATGTGATATGGCTAAAATAGGTTTATTTGTATAATTTAGCCAGAATTTTGTGATCATAATCAATATGGCAAAAATAATAATAAATACTATTATTAGGGGGCCAAGCACCGAAGGTGTGCATAGTGTATCCGTTAGTTTTCCTCTTAGGTCTAGGTACGCCATAGAACCGCTTGCAGGACAATGATGTAATTTGGTGCACAGATAGAGGACAGTTTGAACATTAACCACAGCAAATACCTACGGAATCTCTAACTCAATCCTCCAGCGCCAACAACTGTCTGAAGTTGCACTTACGTTTATGCTAATAACTTTTGAACTGTTAGAGCTAGGAAGAAATGGTTCTGATGTTGATGGTTGATTGGAATATTGATCCAGGAACATGTATTTAGTGAAATCAGGTTCTGATAGCACGTCATGGCGCCATTCCTCCTTCCGATGTGGGAATCACATCCCAGTCATCTTATGGCTCAAGACGATTCGATTGCACCGTGATTTTCCGTCATGAACATTTTCCCGCCGTTAAGAATTTTCCAAAAAACCTACTTTTTCTAATTCCTCCTAGATGGTTTGTCCGAATTTACCAAAATTGGCACAGATCATCTTTAGACCATGCTAGCAAAAACGTATTAAAGCAACACTAAGTAAGATTTTTTTACCTTAAAATAAAATCGTTCCAAAATCGTTTCAGTGGTTCATTAAGTTGTAACAGGGTGAAAGGCACTTCTGGATCCTATATCTGCTATAACCACGCTATGTAAGATTGCCAGATCGGGTCGCGTTTCTGTAGTTCTAATGAGACAACTACAAATTTGACTTGCTTTACATCAAGCGTTACAATAGTCATTATTTTGTTTTTCTTCGTTTCTGATATACATCATTCGCAATACATCAAACTTTCATGAAATCATGCAACATACTCTACCTTGTCTGTGGACATCGTTCATTCCAAAGCCGGTGCTGGATAAACAGCGAGCGTGCGTGCGACAGTAGGATGCGCTAGGCTAAAGTATTTACGACAGCGGTAATGGACAATTCCGCTTACAACCTGTAGGGCGACCGCAGAGGAAAAGTTACTTGGTGTTGCTTTAAAAGCTATTTGATAAACGAACCCATTCTCAAATAACACACGAACGAATTTGATGAACAGCACGCCAAATTTACACAAGGCTAAAAACCCCAACGCTTTGGCATATCAAGACACATCTTGGTAAGTGTCATCACAAGTAGAGGAAAAGTTACTTTTTGACATGTGACGTGTCTTCGTCACATGTCAAAAAGTAGAGTTGTTAGAGTTGTTCCGATTCCGATACTAGTATCGGAAATGCCGCCGATACCAATAAAAATGCTGGCATCGGTATAGAGTACTTCTACCCATGTACCGATCCGATACCATTTTCTTAAACAACATATCTAGTTATGCACGCTAGCTTTGCATAACGCTGCAAATCGGAGATCAATTCTTCTTCGCTGCTCTAAACAGTGGTTGCTTGTGGCGACACAGGAAGTTGTGCTGTTGCCACAAGCAACCACTGTTTAGAGCAGCGAAGAAGAAAACGCGTGCGCGCGATAGCAGTATGTCCGCTGTTTAGCAGCATTTCAGACTGGACCAACCAGCCAGGAAAATGGCGACATGTCTCGTATGCCATACTGAAATTTCGAGGGGTGGAACAAGTATTAGCAACTTCAACACGAGTCACTTAAGCATTTGAAGACGCGTCACCCCGCAGAACACGATGGCAAGGGCAGAGAAGAATGAGCCGCGCCAGAATCATCAATCTCTGAAAGCTTCATTCAAACAAAGAGAAAAGTTTTCAAAAGACAGCCAACGAGCGATAAATATAACCGACAACATGTATTGAGTTTATTGTTCTGGATGACCAGCCACGGTCAAAACTGAAATGCCGTTTATTTAACAAAATTGTTTATGGACTTTAAATTATAAAGAGATTATTTTCTTATATTATTCATATATAATTTTTTAGATTCCTAGATTTATTTGTTGCACTTTTTTTATGCAGTTATATAGTAAAACTAAAATACCTTTTTCAGTTTACAGTATTCGATGTGTGGTTGCATTTTAAGTTCTTTTTCACTTAAGAAAGATAAATAATATATTGCTGTGAAATGTATGTCAGATAATAAAAATACTCTAGTTCACTCTATGTATTTGTTCATGTTTAATTAAGGGATAAGTCTGAAAGACGCCATAAAATAATTATATCATTTCATACAGGGCTAGTATGAATTGCCGCTGTATAGATACTGTACACACCCAGGTATCGGATCGGTACTCGGTATCGGCCGATACCCTGAGTCCAGGTATCGGAATCGGTATCGGGAAGGGAAAAAGGGTATCGGAAGAACATCTCTAATCACAAGCATGACCTGAAGAAGCTACATGCAGTGTTTCGGCACAGTGCCATTTAGTGGTCAGAAGATTTGTACAAAAACATGTACCTTTTTTTTTTTTTTTTTGCTATAACCTTCTGAACGTTTTTTTCCATGCAGGCCATTCTGAGCATTGGCCATTTAGAATATTGATGTAAAATGCTGTATTTTATGATTGCATTAGTGTATCGTTACAAAACTCTGTCATTGGGACCATGCCCTGAAGGTACTCAATAATGTTTTGGAACAGTGCCACCCTCTGGTCAAAATTCATAATGAAACCACAAAAAAATAAATGCTAATAGCTTTTGATTTATTTTGCCTATTTTAACGAAACTGGTCTTGATAGATAGATTACTTGAGTCATACCAAGAACAATGAAACCAGTTATGCCATATTCAGTCGAACTTGCTATAGGCCTACGCCATTTTGAACTTCATTGAAAACCTACTTTTTCAAACTTCTACACTGTTGGCCCGATTTTCACAGAAATGGGCAGAGATCATTTACAGACCATGCTGGCAAAAAATGTATTAAAAGCTTTTTGATTGAACAAACCATTCTCAAATAACTCATTAATGAAATTGATGGGATGGTGGCAAGCTGATTCTGAGGCTGTAACTCTGCAACGCTATTATTGACACTAAACTATACGGTATATGTCAGAGTATACCTCCTATTCCCTCAAACAGGGCGCTATTTGAGGGGATTTGTAGTTGTCACGTTATTGAGTGCACTTATTCAATCCAACACTGCACTGCAATAACAAGTGTAGGCTACAACCGATGTTCGCTCAACGGCTGTCCGAATTCGCTCACTCGTTTTCATTCACTCCTTCAAGTGAACAGTGGACTAACGTAGGGAATAGTGAATGAGTGTTTAGGGAGCGATTTCGGATTCAGCTATTGTCTCCTCACACTGACCACACATCAATTTGATTAAAGGAACACACATCTATTAATCAGAAGTGATAAGCAATTTTATCGTATTGCAAGTGATCGTATTTTATGATCTATAGCCTGCATAACTATCATGATTTTTGTGCCTGGCCCCGACAATTTCTAATTTATTTAATTATTAATTCAATTAAAAATGAATTTATTATTATTACTAAATTAAAATATAAAAATTACTGAATAAAAAACAAAGAAATATGACTACTGCATAATTTCACTGTAAAATAAAAACAATAGCCTATAAGAAAAATAATGATAGCCCAATAATAAATATTTTTTTTATTTAATTTTACATTACACCTGTAAAATTACAATACTAATACATTTGGCCATCTTAATTCCAGGCTTTTCTCTGAAACATGCAATCTACACAAATATTTAAATAGCAGTTTTTGCGATTTGATAATCGCACTAAGTCATATCACGATTTCGGTTCTATAGTTGTGCAGCCCTAATTTGTGATCTATAAATGATTGTCTGCAGATTGTGGGGTAGCTCCCCTAAACACACGTATAGTGGGCGGCACAGACGCCCCTGCGGGTAACTGGCCCTGGCAGGTCAGTATACATTTCGATGGCAGACACATCTGTGGGGGAACCCTGATCAACAACCAGTGGGTGATGACGGCTGCTCACTGCATCGTCTCGTAAGAAGGATCGCATGATTTTTTAATAACTTTTTAACTGTTTCCATAAGCCTGCTTACAAATGTACTGAAGCTTTTCTGTAGCGCAAAGCAAATGTTTATTTCCAACTGTCTATTGCAACAGGACTAACATCAACAGATGGACGTTGTACTTGGGAAGAGAAACCCAGAGCACGTCTGTTGCCAACCCAAATGAAGTGAGAGTTGGTATTCAGTCCATCATCGTCCATCCAAAGTACAACAACAGCCTTAGTAATAATGACATCTCCCTGATGAAACTGAGTGAACCTGTGACCTTCTCTCCATACATTCGTCCGGTCTGCCTGGCATCTAAAGGAAGTGTCTTTCACAACGCCACAACTTGCTGGGCTACCGGTTGGGGAAACATTGGCAAAGGCCGTGAGTGTCCCAAAACTATAATACACAACTTTAAGATATGTATTTTATGCAGTGTTTTTTTATTTTATTATAGTTTTAGGTGTATGTTAATTTTTGTTAATTTTTTTTATTAGTTTATTTTAAATATTGCTATTTACTTTTAATTTATTTTTATTTCTGCTTTAGTTTTAGTTAATTGCATGTTTTTTTTCTTTCCAGTTAATAATTTTAGAGCTTTAAACTTACAAGTCAACATTTCTAAAGTTTTTCAACTACTACATACATACATATGTATTACATACATAACTAACTAACATTAACTAACCATGAGCAATATTTGTCACTGTATTTGTTAATCTTTGTTAATGTTATAAAAATAAAGCTGTTCATTGTTTGTTCATGTTCACACAGTGAAAGATTTTAATAAAGTATTAGTAGATGTTGAAATTAACATTAACAAAGATTAATAAATGCTGTATAAGTGTTGTTCATTGTTAGTTCATGCTAACTAATGTAGTTAACTAATGTTAAAGTCCTTATTGTAAAGTGTTACAGACATGTTTTTAGTTTTTGGTTTGTGTGTAGTTTAATGCAGGACTTTTACAAGTTCTAACATGTAGAAAAACACCTCTGCTTTAATCAATTACCCTGCATCCCCATAGATTTCATATTTTAATATCCATGCATATGAAGATTTTAAATCATACAGACTGAGAACACCAGTAAATCTCACAAAACTTAGGAATTTACCCAGGGCACATTTCACCCCAAATGAAAAGTAGAATTATAAGAAAACCATTTATTCAGAACCATTTTCATTACTGTAATAAAAATGCAAAGTATTTATAAATCATGTTAGGATTTATTTTACCCCATTTAATGCTGATTGAAAACTAAATTTATATCAGAAACTTATAAAAAGCATAAAACTGCAAGTGTAGAAATCACTGATCTTTGTAGATATAGATCAGTGGGCAGAACGATCTTTTGGTAATTACGTGAGATGGGCTTCAGCTCTGCTCATTTGCATGGATGAATCTGATGCTTTAAAGCATGTAGCCATGGTTACAGAGGTAATCATCTTAGAGTTAATGTCACTAACGACACCGAAACTCTCCCAAATAAGTAAATAAATAACAAAAGAAGGGAAAAAAGATGATTCTCCTCAAAAATATGTCTTAAAGCTACATGAACACACGAGCAGCCAAGATATTAATGTAATATAAATGTAATCTCCCAGCCTGGCCAAGCTGGTGTTCAGCTGGTTTTAGTTAGCTATTACCAGGCTGGAAGACCAGCCAACCAGCTTAGGCTGGATATGCGCTTTTTTTCAGCATGGGTAAACATGTCATTCACTCACAAACACTGTCTCTGTGTATGACAGAGGCGTTGCCGGTTCCTAAGACACTGCAGGAGGTGGAAATCCCAGTTGTGGGCAGCTCACAATGTAGCTGCCAGTATAGGAATGTGGCTGGTATTACAATCACACCACAGATGATTTGTGCAGGGAGAACAGGCAAAGGAATCTGTCAGGTGAGTCAAACAAAAAAGGACAATTCTGTCATAAAATATTCTAAGAAACTCTTTTTTTTATATATATATTGTCATGGTTCTGTCACTTCTGCTTTAGTTACTAGTTCTGTGTGGTGACAGAGCTATGACATTTCCTGTCTGTCGTGTTTATGTTAGTCTAGTTTCATGTGAGCACATGGCTCCTGATTATTCCTGTGTCATGTGCTTTCTGTCTAATTGTTAGCTTCTCCCTTCTCGTTATCTGTTTAGTAATTAACATTCCTCACCTGTTGTCTGTGTTTCCTTTATAACCTCCTTTGTGTTTTCAGTCCGGTGCTGGTTCGTTTGTCTAAGTTCCTGTTTCTTGGTCCTTGTGTTTTTGCCTTGTTAGTATTTGTTCTGGTTTTCCCCCCACGCAGGAGTTTTGTTTGTACTTTGTATTTTGTTTAGTTGGTTAATTAAAATCTTACCGTTGTTTTCCTGCAATTGAGTCCTCGTTTATGTTTCCTGATTATCACGTGACAGAACGAACCAGCCTAGAATGAGGACTCAGCGGAAAACATCATACCAGTCACCAGAACCTTCGATTACCTGCCCTCAATATGAACGGGTTATGAAATTCAACGCGTTGGTTTCTCTCCATCAGGAAGGTATGAATATCCGAGACTTTGCCCTAAGATTCAGCTCAGCGGCTGAGGGACTGAGCCTGGGGAAGATGGCCCTCAAGGACCTGTTTAATTTTGCACTTGACAAACCACAGATGGGGGTACTGAAGGAGTTCGACTTCTGGGGTTTCATCAATGCTCTGGATCCCGAGAGTAAACTTCCAGAGTGGCCAGTCATTGTATTCCCAGAGGTGGGGTTGCCTGCACCGTCTCGTACTGATCATCGCAGGAGGAAGAAAACTTCGAGGGTTCCAGAGGGCTTTACTCTCCCTGCTAAGACCTCAGGGGTTGTAGAGGAGCTGGTAGAGACTACCCGCTCACGAAAGCGGAGGAAGAAGAGAGTTCAGGTCACGCCTGATGATTCAGAGAATGTTCCCGTCACGTCTGATGATCCAGAGACTGTTCAGGTCACGCCTGATGACCCAGAGACTGTTCAAATCACGCCTGATGATCCAGAGACTGTTCAGGTCACGCCTGATGATCCAGAGACTGTTCAATTCACGCCTGATGACCCAGAGACTGTTCAGGTCACGCCTGATGACCCAGAGACTGTTCAAGTCACGCCTGATGACCCAGAGACTGTTCAGGTCACGTCTGATGATCCAGAGACTGTTCAGGTCACGTCTGATGACCCAGAGACTGTTCAAGTCACGCCTGATGACCCAGAGACTGTTCAGGTCACGTCTGATGATCCAGAGACTGTTCAGGTCACGCCTGATGATCCAGAGACTGTTCAAGTCACGCCTGATGATCCAGAGACTGTTCAAGTCACGCCTGATGATCCAGAGACTGTTCAGGTCACGTCTGATGATCCAGAGACTGTTCAGGTCACGTCTGATGATCCAGAGACTGTTCAGGTCACGCCTGATGATTCAGAGACTGTTCCCATCACATCTGAGAAACTAGAGACTGTTCAGGTCACGTCTGATGATCCAGAGACTGTTCCCATCACATCTGAGGATCTAGAGACTGTTCAGGTCACGTCTGATGATCCAGAGACTGTTCAGGTCACGCCTGATGATCCAGAGACTGCTCAGGTCACGCCTGATGATTCAGAGAATGTTCCCGTCACGTCTGATGATGCAGAGACTGTTCAGGTCACGTCTGATGATTCAGAGACTCTTCAGGTCACGCCTGATGATCCAGAGACTGTTCAGGTCACGCCTGATGATCCAGAGACTGTTCAAGTCACGCCTGATGACCCAGAGACTGTTCAGGTCACGTCTGATGATCCAGAGACTGTTCAGGTCACGTCTGATGACCCAGAGACTGTTCAAGTCACGCCTGATGACCCAGAGACTGTTCAGGTCACGTCTGATGATCTAGAGACTGTTCAGGTCACGCCTGATGATCCAGAGACTGTTCAAGTCACGCCTGATGATCCAGAGACTGTTCAAGTCACGCCTGATGATCCAGAGACTGTTCAGGTCACGCCTGATGATTCAGAGAATGTTCCCGTCACGTCTGATGATCCAGAGACTGTTCAGGTCACGCCTGATGATTCAGAGACTGTTCCCATCACATCTGAGGATCTAGAGACTGTTCAGGTCACGTCTGATGATCCAGAGACTGTTCCCATCACATCTGAGGATCTAGAGACTGTTCAGGTCACGTCTGATGATCCAGAGACTGTTCAGGTCACGCCTGATGATCCAGAGACTGCTCAGGTCACGCCTGATGATTCAGAGAATGTTCCCGTCACGTCTGATGACGCAGAGACTGTTCAGGTCACGTCTGATGATCCAGAGACTCTTCAGGTCACGCCTGATGATCCAGAGACTGTTCAGGTCACGCCTGATGATCCAGAGACTGTTCAAGTCACGCCTGATGACCCAGAGACTGTTCAGGTCACGCCTGATGATCCAGAGACTGTTCCTGATGATTCAGAGACTGTTCAGGTCACGCCTGATGATCCAGAGACTGTTCAGGTCACGCCGGATGATCCAGAGACTGTTCAAGTCACGCCTGATGATCCAGAGACTGTTCAAGTCACGCCTGATGATCCAGAGACTGTTCAGGTCACGCCTGATGATCCAGAGACTGTTCAGGTCACGCCTGATGATCCAGAGACTGTTCAGGTCACGCCTGATGATCCAGAGACTGTTCAGGTCACGCCTGATGATCCAGAGACTGTTCAGGTCACGCCTGATGATTCAGAGAATGTTCCCGTCACGTCTGATGATCCAGAGACTGTTCAGGTCACGTCTGATGATTCAGAGACTGTTCATGTCATATCGGATGATCCAGAGACTGTTCATGTCAGGTCTGCTGATACAGAGACTGTTCATGTCAGGTCTGCTGATACAGAGACTGTTCAGGTCACGCCTGATGATCCAGAGACTGTTCATGTCACGTCTGATGATCCAGAGACTGTTCAGGTCACGCCTGATGATTCAGAGACTGTTCCCATCACATCTGAGGATCTAGAGACTGTTCAGGTCACGTCTGATGATCCAGAGACTGTTCAGGTCACGCCTGATGATTCAGAGACTGTTCCCATCACATCTGAGGATCTAGAGACTGTTCAGGTCACGCCTGATGATTCAGAGACTGTTCATGCCATATCGGATGATCCAGAGATTGTTCAGGTCACGTCTGCCGATCCAGAGACTGTTCATGTCAGGTCTGCTGATACAGAGACTGTTCAGGTCACGCCTGATGATCCAGAGACTGTTCATGTCACGTCTGATGATCCAGAGACTGTTCAGGTCACGCCTGATGATTCAGAGACTGTTCCCATCACATCTGAGGATCTAGAGACTGTTCAGGTCACGTCTGATGATCCAGAGACTGTTCAGGTCACGCCTGATGATTCAGAGACTGTTCCCATCACATCTGAGGATCTAGAGACTGTTCAGGTCACGCCTGATGATTCAGAGAATGTTCCCGTCACGTCTGATGACCCAGAGACTGTCCAGGTCACGTCTGATGATTCAGAGACTCTTCAGGTCACGCCTGATGATCCAGAGACTGTTCAGGTCACGCCTGATGATCCAGAGACTGTTCAAGTCACGCCTGATGACCCAGAGACTGTTCAGGTCACGCCTGATGATCCAGAGACTGTTCCTGATGATCCAGAGACTGTTCAGGTCACGCCTGATGATCCAGAGACTGTTCAGGTCACGCCTGATGATTCAGAGACTGTTCAGGTCACGCCTGATGATCCAGAGACTGTTCAAGTCACGCCTGATGATCCAGAGACTGTTCAAGTCACGCCTGATGATCCAGAGACTGTTCAGGTCACGCCTGATGATCCAGAGACTGTTCAGGTCACGCCTGATGATCCAGAGACTGTTCAGGTCACGCCTGATGATCCAGAGACTGTTCAGGTCACGCCTGATGATCCAGAGACTGTGCAGGTCACGCCTGATGATTCAGAGAATGTTTCCGTCACGTCTGATGATCCAGAGACTGTTCAGGTCACGCCTGATGATCCAGAGACTGTTCAGGTCACGCCTGATGATCCAGAGACTGTTCAGGTCACGCCTGATGATCCAGAGACTGTTCAGGTCACGCCTGATGATCCAGAGACTGTTCAGGTCACGCCTGATGATCCAGAGACTGTTCAGGTCACGCCTGATGATTCAGAGAATGTTTCCATCACGTCTGATGATCCAGAGACTGTTCAGGTCACGTCTGATGATTCAGAGACTGTTCATGTCATATCGGATGATCCAGAGACTGTTCATGTCAGGTCTGCTGATACAGAGATTGTTCAGGTCACGTCTGCCGATCCAGAGACTGTTCATGTCAGGTCTGCTGATACAGAGATTGTTCAGGTCACGTCTGCCGATCCAGAGACTGTTCTTGGGCCGTCCGAGGGGGTTTCTTCACCAGGGTTGCCCGAACAGCTTGTTCCGCCCTGGTCATCTGCACGACCTGCTCCACCTTGGTCGTCTGCACAGCCTGCTTCGCCCGGGTCGTCTGTACAATCTGTTCCGCCCTGGTCGTCTGCACAGCCTGCTTCGCCCGGGTCGTCTGTACAATCTGTTCCGCCCTGGTCGTCTGCACAACCGGAGCCGCACTGGTCGTCTGCACGGCCTGCTTCGCCCTGGCTGCCTGCACAGCCTGTTCCACCCTGGCTGCCTGCATGGCTTGTCCCGCCTTGGCGGCCTGCACAGCCTGTTCCGCCCAGCCCTCCCATCCCATCCCTCCCTCCCATCCCATCCCTCCCTGGCCTTCTTGGACTTTTTGTCGCTATGCAATTATGGACTGGTTTGGGTTCCCTCCCTGTTTTAGTGTTTCTGATGTGGTTGTCTGGTCTGTTTGTTTTCTTGTGTGTTTTTGGTTTTGTTTGATGTCCCTGAGTTGGGGATGCCAGGTGGTGTCCCCTTTGAGGGGGGAGGGGGTAATGTC